AGGCCTCTCCTGTGGACACAGTGCACCAGACAGAACCTGAGTGTCAACAGGAGCCAGCCATATCTCCTTTCTCTCTCCTTGCTCATACCAGGCAGCAGTAGCAGAATCACCTCTTTCTTTATCCACCACCAGAAACATAAAGTCAGGTTGCTCAAAGCCCCATCCAACCTGATCTTGAACATTTCCAGTCATGGTCCAGCCATAATTTCCCTGTTCCAGCATCTCAGCACCCTCACAAGAAAAAAATTCCAGTTTATCCTTACCCAGTTTATCCTTACCCAGTTTATCCTTCTGGAGAAGAATTCTACAAGGTCAGTCCACACTTTCACAAGCTGGAACACCAGGATGAAAATAACTATGCCATAAAAATGATGTCAATTACCAATCTCTCCCAGGACCATTGAGTGAAGGACCACAGTTAGGCAAGTCTATCATGCTCAGCACAAGACAAGGCACACAATTCTAGCTTCTAGCTCTGCACCTGGTACCACAACAGAGTTTGCTAAATTGCTTCCTACATCCCTTTAATGAACCACTGGACTCTGAGAGCAAATGGAAGGCAATACTACAATACATGTATACCAGAGGCTGCATCATACTCAATCTGCAGTCTCAGAAACATGGTCTTCCATGGAGGCAGTCACTGCATAAAGCTGCGCTAAAAACATTCCCTCATCCTCAAAACAAATGGGCAATGTTGCAACCTTCTTTTGCCCAGCACTGATTGCATCAGTTTCTCACCCACAAGCCACACTCACCCACTGCACAGGTTTATGCTCAGGTATAACGATGCTGCTAAGGGTAAAACTTCTTTTAAAAAGGTACTTGAAACAAGCCACATACAAATGCAATGGTACACAGAGGAGTCCATCTCACTCCCCACCTTTTGTATGAGAGAGCTGGCATAGCTCTACGTGAGCTGGTCCAGTTTTACAACACCAGAGGTTAGAATTAATTCAACCTTTGGGAATATTGGCTCTAAAAGATGCTTCTTTAGTGAAAAAGGAATGGGCAAGTCTATGAGGTGCAAGGAGTGACACCACTGTTCACAGAGTTTCTTGATAAACAGAATTATACTTTTTGTAGGATAATCTTGGTTTTCCCTTATGAAAATTGTTCCTGGGTAAGTAAGTATGAAGAGCAGAGAATTCTAAGTTAATTCCTCGTAGCAGTTTCTTTTAATATCTAACAAAGCACTCTACATTTGGCATTTAAAATCCAGGGAACGCAAGCACATAGCATAGAAAATTACATGCAACTTGAGTTTTTGCTTTGGCGATACAATCTTAGGAATGGGGCAAAGTCTCGAGCCACCAGGCTGGCCAGTTCACTGAAATAACTTGTTTGGAAAGTGTTCTTGCTTTGTGAGGTGGGGAGGAATAAATCATAATATGCATTACACTGAGGCTCATGCTAAGTCACAAATTACCTGATGTTTATTATGAATTTCTCTGCTTGTGCCATAACTTGATGTAGTCCTTCTAGTTATGATGGTGCCTCAACTACTGACATACAACTCAGCCCCTGAATTATCTGTTAACATACAAAATGACTTAATGAGTAATTTCAACCTTGAAATTCTCTCAACAACTTTTCAAAATGCAAATTATGTAATGAAATAATGATGTAAAATGCCTATTACATAACTGAGCAGAGTAATTGTCCCTCAGTATGAGAAAGATGTTGAGATACTGGAGTGAGTCCAGAGAAGAGCAATGGAATTGATGGAGTGTCTGGAGCACAACTCCTTTGAGGTGTGGTTGAGGGAGCTGGGGCTGTCTAGTCTGGAAAAAAGGAGGCTCAGGGAAGACATCATTGCTCTCTACAACTGCCTGGAAGGAGGCTGTAGCCAGGTGGGGTTGGTCTTTCCTCCCAAGTAACAAGCACAAGCAGAAGAGGAAACAGTCTCAAGCTGCAGCAGGGGAGGGCTAGACTGGATATCACCAGGAAGTTCTTCACTGAAAGGGGAGACAAGCATTGGAACAGACTGCCCTGCTCTGGCAAGTGGTGGTATCACTGAGCCTGGCAATGTTAAAAGAGGTCTAGATGTGGCAATCAGGGACATGGTTTACTGGTGCACCGTTGGACTTGATAAGGTTTGAAGTCTTTTCCAACCTGAATGATTTTATGAATCTGGCAGAGGAGCCTACAGGGAAGGAATGAAGCTGATCTCGGGGAAAGGGGCAAGATAACTTATTCTACTGTTTGTCCTTCTGTTTCCCATTAACTTCCCATTATTTTAAATCAGCAACAAATTGATTTTCCACGTGTCCAGAATGTTCTGCCATGTCAAAAACCAGGGGGCAATCTTCCTGTCTTTCTCTTGACCCATGAGCTTTCTCATTCTACTCTTCTACCTAATCCGGCTGAATAGGTGGTGAGCATTTCACTCTCTGCCAAGGCTATCCCACCACAAGTCTAGTTATTTCATTCAAGAAAAAATCTCCTCTTCCAAAAGGTGAGCAAAGGGAGGAATACAAAGTAATGACTTTATAAGCTAATTAAGGTACTTAATACCCTAAGTGTCCTCTAAACCCCAGAAAATGTCATTGACAAATGGGCCTTTTTGAAAGTTGCAAGTCTGCCAAAGCAGAGCAAGTTGAAAACTCTCAGGTTTCAGGAGCTTTTCCCTTTTAATTCCTGGGAAAAGAAGTTGAAAGGAGTTTGTGAGCCCCTTTAAAATGTACTTACTCTTACTGTATGAGACATTAGTCCCATGAGACTCAAGTGAAATTGAGCCTTGAATTTGCTAACCACTTGCTTCTTCCACAAGTGCTTTAAAGTTAGACCACATGCTCAGGAGAGACCTTATCACTCTCTACAACTGCCTGAAAGGAGTTTGTAGAAAGGTACAGATCAGTCTCCTCTCACAGACAACAACTGACAGGACAAGAGGAAATGGCCTCAACCTGCACCTGGGGAAATTCAGGCTGGACATTAGGAAGAATTTCTTCACTGAAAGGGTTGTCAAGCATTGGAATGGGCTGCCCAGGAAGGTGGTAGAGTCATCATAAACAGAAGCGTTTAAGGAAAAAATGGATGCAGCACTCACTGCCATGGTCCAATTGACAAGGTGATGTTCAGTCATAGGTTGGACTTGATGACTTTGAGATGTTTTCCAGCCTAAATAATTGTGTGATTCAATGCAATAATTTCAAAAAGCTAACACCTAGATTTGTGGGGTGGAAGACTTTTTGCTGTTAATTTACTATGAATGAATGTAGAGTGCTGTATGCTTAATCTGAAAGCATTTTTGATTGATTGATAGATATAACAAAATTGAATTTGGACCTTAAGTCTGTAACATGGGTGAGAAAAAATTCTGCGTTTTAGAAAGCTTTCATCCAGTTTATGTCTAGCTGACCCTCCCTTCTGCTGGTATTATTTCAATGTGATCATGGCTGGATCACTCATTTCAGCTGAGGTTTCCCAGCAGAGCTCTGCTCTGAGTACTTGAAAAGTGACACAGAGCTGAGATAAAGGCCTGGTCCCACATGGGCAGCCCATTTCCCTGACACAGAGAGCTGAGTGAGATGGATTTTCAAGGGAGCTGAACAGAATGTAGGTGGGTGGCTGGGAATAACACGTTTACTCTTAATTACTATCTTTGCTTCTCTCCACCTCCTCCATCTGCCTGACCACCTGTTGTTGGTGTCTGCTGCATCCTATCTTCAACAGCTGCAGAAAAAGTTTCTTTAGGATACCTTAAAGGTATGTAGGTGTACCCCAGATCTTCCAAGCCCACAGTGACAAACAGCTCAGCAGCTGCAGGACTATGCTGTCTTTTACTCTGCCAGTGAAGGTACTTGGAGATGCTGTGGCTGTGGCACATTTTATCACCTATATTTTCTAGTACTACAGGGGGATGGGATGACCACTTTGGGACATTTATTTTCTGGACTGCAGTACTGCATAGCTTGTCAGACTGTGGTGCAAAACTACTCAGAGTAGCGACAGCTGTGGAATTTGAAAGAATTTTTACTTCGAGACAGAAATTTGACATCCTCTTAGATTTTATGAGGCATCTGTAGTAACACTATTATGCACCTCAGCTAGACAGAAGAGAAAATTGGTATCACCACAGAGAGAAGTGAACCTCAGAAATTACCCCTCTTGAAATGCTAAAACACTTTTTTACTAATTTTTACTTTTCTTAGCTATCTTTCTCAATATTTTTTCCATGCTAACTGGATGATGATGATGATGATGATGATGAGCTAAGGAAAGCTGATCCATATATAAGAGGAAACCTATTTTTTGGTCCTTGAAGATTAGGAATGCTTTTAAAACAATTGCTCAAACCTTTTGTTGACTGTTTTCTTACTTTATTTCAACACATGCCTCTTATCTGCAATCTGGGGAGTATGTACGATGTGCATCCACTGTGGCAGCTCCCTGGGGCGTGGTTCCCTCCTTTGTCAATATTGCCCTCATGGATTGCATTGAACCCCTCAGGTCACCCCTGCTTGTCAGTACTCCAAACTACCTCTGGTACATCAGGGGTGATACAAACCATTACTGCTCTGGGAGGGCACAATTATGCCATTTCTCATTTGCAGGTCTTTGGCTTGTAACAGTATTTATATAATTTTTCTGGGGGTGGCAGGGAATACCACCACTGTATAGACACTGATAAAGGAAAGATAGACATACTGTTCATGTTCTGTGTGGCCTAAAGGTTTGTTACACAAAAAAAACTGCTAAGAGAAAGTCACATTTATAACTCTATTTTGGGTATTGACAGGTACAAATTCAGCTGGTAAATACTGGGCATTTTCATCACTTTTTGAAAACAGAGGCTTTTCTGCCTAGAAATGGTGCACACCCTACCAGGCCCAGATGAGATTTCTGCCTTTCCAAACCAATGAATCATATGTGTTGCACCTCTGGTAACAGTTTTTAACCCAAAATGCTGCAGGAGCTGATGCCTGGCACCCAGCTCCCCAGAGCATCAGCCCCTTTGCTGTTGCTGTAAGAGACAGATTGGAACATTTCTGGTGGAGATTTTACACAGAATTTATTGCATGTGCCACCTCTCTCTGGGGAGGGGTGTGGGTGCAGCCAGGATGACCCCTGGTGGTTGGTCCTGCCTGCTGGCCTCCCATTCTCCTCCACTGTGCTGGGGTGTGTGTGTCCCCTGTGCTGGGGTGATGCCTTAAGGCAGCACAGAATCTGAAAAATATAAAAGCCAAAACCAGAGGCATCAGGGTGAGGCTGGCAGTGAGCCCTTTGAGAATTTGGCCCCTCAACATTTGAGGTCTCAAGATTTAAACCAAACTTTGCAATTTTTTTTTCAGTTGTTAATCAGAAGCTGTAGTTTAACAATTATGATTAAGCAATTGCACTGTGAATGTTGTGTCTTTTGTTTTGAGGAAAGGAGAAGACAATGCCAAGATAAATGGACTCTCGGGATGCGAGCTGCCAGGAGTGAAGTCAGCAGGAGTGAGCAGTAAGTGAGGGAAGGTAATTCCAGCAGTGGATGACCGTGACCACTGTCTCATTGACCACCAAACCCCGATCCAAAGGGGAGGGACAACCATGCCTGGAAGAACCTAAAAGGGCGCTTCTCTTGGAGAAGCAAGAGATACAACTAGCAAATAGGGTTTGAGTACTAATTAGGAGAAAAGTCATACAACTTACAGACAACAAATGCTGATGCCTTTGTTTGTTAAAAGGTATAAATAGTGTAGAGGATTCATGATCACAGAGCCAGCCTTTCGTGGGTTACCTCCTGATTCCCGGCTTTGAGCAAACTAGAATAAAAGACAGAAATACAGTATCACAGAATCGTTAGGGTTGGAAGGGACTTTTGGAGATAATCCAGACCAACACCCCTGCTGAGGCAGGGTCACCCAGAGCGGGTGACACAGGAACATATCCAGGTGGGTTTTGAATGGCTCCAGAGAGGGGCACTCCACAACCTCCCCGGTAGCCTGTTCCAGCGCTCCGCCACCCTGGGGACAAGGAAGTTGTCCGGCAGGCCAAGCGGAGGTGGAAAAAGCCGTGTTCCGGTCCGTCCTTGGCCGGTGTTCGCTTCCGGAACCCGCCCGGGCCGTGTGGGGGAGCGGGGCCGGGCTCTCCAGACCCCGCCCCCAGCGCCGGCCCCGCCCCACCCGCAGCCCCCGCCGGCCCCGCCGAGCCGCCAGGGGGCGCTGCTGCCGCCTTGCCCGCCTTGCCCGCCGCTGTCGCCGAGGCCGCGGGGCCGGTGCGGAGCGCACGATGGAGGCGCCGCCGGTGACCATGATGCCCGTCACGGGCGGCACCATTAACATGATGGAGTACCTGCTCCAAGGTAGGCGACTGCGTGTCCGAGAAGCGCTGGCAGCGGGGGGGAGGGGGGGGGGGGGGTGGGGGGTGCTTGCGCCGCGCACGGGCGGGCCGGAGGGCGCTGGGACGGGCGCGCTGCGGAGGGAGCGCAGCTTGGCCTGTGGGGGAGGCGATGGTCGTGGCGCTGTCTCCGCAGGGAGCGTGCTGGACCAGAGCCTGGAGAGCCTCCTGCACCGCCTGCGCGGGCTGTGCGACAACATGGAGCCCGAGACCTTCCTGGACCACGAGATGGTGTTCCTGCTGAAGGGGCAGCAGGCCAGCCCCTTCGTGCTGCGCGCCCGGCGCTCCATGGACAAGAGCGGGATGCCCTGGCACCTGCGCTACCTGGGACAGCCCGAAATCGGTGACAAGAACCGCCACGCGCTGGTGCGCAACTGCGTGGACATCGCCACGTCTGACAACCTGACGGACTTCCTGGTGGAGATGGGTTTCCGCATGGACCACGAGTTCGTGGCCAAAGGGCACGTGTTCCGCAAGGGCATCATGAAGATCATGGTGTACAAGATCTTCCGCATACTGATGCCAGGAAACACGGAGAGCATTGAGCCGCTCTCCCTCTCCTACTTGGTGGAGCTCAATGTAGTCGCACCAGCAGGGCAGGACATTGTTTCTGATGACATGAGGAACTTTGCTGAGCAGCTGAAGCCTCTAGTACACCTGGAGAAAATTGACCCCAAAAGACTAATGTGATTGAAAATCTGGGCCATTAAGGCATTGTTTTTGTGTTTCAGAAAAGGATGTTTTTCCAAAAAGCTTTTTTGTGGGCAAATCAAAGCAGGAAGAAGGGAATAAAGTACTATATATCAGTTTTGGCAGTTGTAATAACTGAGTGGTTTTTTCTTTCACTTGTGAATATGAACAAAAGTGGACACTTTAAATTAGCACTGTCAAAAAAAAATCAGTAAATGTTAATACCGACAGTCTTCCTTCTCTTGCATAGGAGATAACTTAAAAAGCCTATTGCCTAACACTAAAAATGTCAAGACTTACTGTAATTCATCCCTCTGTGTACCCAGATCCCACTGCTGTCTTTAAGTTTTTTAGAGCACAATTTGTGTATCCTACCTAGTAATCCAAAATTTTTCTTTTCAGTAATAGGTGAAGTTAATATCGTTTAATGCAAGAGGTGCTGTTTCACACAAGTATAAACATAGAATCTGCTATATAAAAGAGCAACTAACTGTACACCTCTTCACCAAAGCTTATATGACAGGAACAGCTACTTGTTAGGGAAACTGTTTCTTCTTATGTAACTAAAGTTAGAAGTGGAAGAAAATCTAGTAATATTAACATTTGCAAGTGGTTTTCACATCTGTTGACAGTGTTCCATTATTTTCACTGGAATTGGTTAGGACAGTCTTAGTTAATAAGAAAGTAAATTACCAGGTACTTTTTATTACTGAATTTCTCACAGCTGACAGCTATATTAAATATTGAAATGTTAAGTGCTTTACATTAAAAAATTTATTCACAATTTTTCATTAAAAATGTAATACAAATCATCATCTGTTTGTTGAATTACTGATGATTTTGCTTAGCACCTCTCTTGATAGTAGGATGGTTAGATACCCTAGTAGTGCTGTGATAATTCAGTGTTTTTTGAATTAAGTTTGAGAGTTTTCAAATACAGTTCAGTCAAATAAAAGCCAGGAAAGATAAAGGAGCTCATTTAAATTTCTCAGGTTCTTTGCAGAGGACAACCATTTCACCCACTGTTCAAGTGTCCAAGCTCTGTCAGAAGCGTTGCCACCCTTCGGCACCCCAAGTGCTTTATGAAACAACTAAAGGCAGGGGCCACTCTCAAAAGAAGTTTTGAAAGGTTTTAAATAGCTACATTTTCAACTGGATCAGTGCTGCAGGCTCCAGTGTGGGCCGTGGGGAGGCCTTGATTACTGGGGTGGTATTGGAGCACCCTCAGGCTGAAGACAGAGCAGTGATTTCCAACAGGGCAGCAGTGAGGCATCACCAGCATGACTGCTCATTACCCTGACTACAAGTATTTTGTGGAGAGTACAAACACACCTGCGGTTCTGCTCATACTTGGGCATGACTCACCCTCACCAAGACAGCACACTATCCTGGGCCTCCGAGCTGGAATTCTCTCATATACAGGGCATAACTTCCTAGGAGCTTCCTAGGCTGTTCCACGGTTGAGTGACAGTCTTATCTCAGCAAATGGGAATTGTTAGGGCTGTTGTCATATTTTGCCACTCTTGGCACTAGTTAAAAATCACTGGCTACAACTTGTACAATCTATGGTTTATCTCCTGGCACTCAAAAGTTTAGGAAGTCTTGTGGATGACAATAGGTCTAACTATTGATTGATCCAAATTAATAAATAATAAAAAAGTTTTTATTTTTAAGGAGAGTTTAAACCCTGAAAACTGCAGCAATCCTCAGTATCAGGCTTCCTTATGCTGATGGTAGTCCATGCATAGAAGAGGCAGGTGTGCAGAGAGAAGAGCTTACTGCATCAATGGCTACAGCTGACGACACTTTCAGGTTGCTAATGCTCAAAGTGTGTCCCTTTCTTCTAACAAAATGTATTTTTCTCCTCCTATAAAACTTAGCCTGTCAAAGGTGGAGACAGAAGATGATTAGTGTTAGTAATTCACACCAGTAAATTGTGTGTCATAGCCCTAATTATCATTCATCATCCAGGGTCAAATGATACTGCAGTTACACAGAAATGCTCAATCTCTTTACTGGAAAGTATCTAATTTTTAAATTATTCACGTAAATTATGGTACCATGAATGTGAAATGTGGCTTTTTTTTGGGGGGGGGGGAGGGCAGGATTTCTTTTTGCCAGGTAAAATAGCGGCATTCTCCAAGGTGAGAGGTTACCTCAGGACCCTCTATTTTTTGCAATATATTACAAGAAACTTGATACAGCTGAGCTTAAGTTTTGATTCTGTTAAAGTAATGCCTTCTGTTACTTCAAACTGTTCCTCTAGTCCTGCCTGTAAGGTTTCTACAGTTTTCCTGATTGCTATATAAAGAAGTAGAAATCACTGTAACAAATAAAGGTAGGATAGTTCTTGATCTATTAGGGACCACTTACTTCTACTATTAAGAAAAGTTGCTCATGGAAGCTTATCTCAGTTACTAAAAATTACTCTTACTTTGGAAAAGCCGTAACTTTATGCTTTAGCCCATCTTAGTCCTGGGTTGCTGCTCTTCCCATTTAAGCTCTCAGAATCTTGTTATTCCATACAAATGAAGAGCTGATATACTCTGGAAGTGCTCTGCATTATGACTACACTCTACCAGGAGCACCTTTAAACACCTCTCTGATTGCTTGCACAAAATGAACTTCTCAATGTGTAAACTAATGTGGCATTCATGTTTTCATCTCAGTGATGTCAGTAACACAAGTAAACTGCTTTCCTGTTAAATGTTTTCCATGCACTAGAATATTGTATATAATTTCATTCACGATTTAAAAGTTGGTTAAAAGGTAAGGTTTCTCCAAATATTGGAAATTTAAAAACAACAAGAAGCCAAGATTTTTCTTCATAATTTTTAATACTTTTAAATTTTAAATACTGGTTTTAAATTTGTGATTGTAACATGTAAGAGCCAACTTCTTTTAATTTTTAAAATTTATCATTAGGATCATAAAGCTATTATAGAACAATTACAACTCTACACACTCAAGGTACTCAAAAATATGATTCATGTTTTAAGTCTGTAAATGAACAGTGGCAATTCAAATACAGCATTATCTGTACAACTTGACAAAAATACAGGTGGACAATCTGATTAAAGAGAATCTGCACAACTTCAGATAAGCCAGCTCAGCCCAATTAAGTAAAAGGTAAGGTTTTTACAAAGTGCATCACATTTTTCACAGATAAATTTGTCAAAGATTTTCAGGTTCTCAGACAGAACAATAATGACCATCTCATCTTCATTCCTAGTACAAGTTCTATCAAGTTATGTCCTTCAGATCTAGTTTGGCAACATCCAAATTTTCCAAACAGATGCAGATATCCAGAGAACAATATCCTATGATTGCTGCATTTTCAGCCTTTTGAACTGGTTTAGCTTACAAAACAATCATTCTAGAGTCAGAAGCTGCTTCTGAAAAGACCACCACAGCTGTGTTAACACTCTTGATCTGTTAACAGGAGGAAATGAACTCAGAGCACACAGACGTGGCAGTGACTGACAAGAGAGATGGGCTCAAGAGACAGGGAAAATTGTATAAAACCATAAAAGCAACATCCCTTCCAGAAGAAAGGATCTAATGGCTACTCACACAAGGACAATATGAGAGGCAATATGAAGCCTTTTGAGATTACTTTTCCAGAGGTCCATTAATAATGATTTCTCAGTCACGTAACTCCTTCCATAGTCTTTAAAAAGCCTCTTACAAATCTGATTGGGCAGGGCTAGCTACAGTGAAGTACCAGTGCCTTTATCTAAAAGTAAAACATACTCTTTACAAATAGTATCTGTAGTGTCATTTTATTTACAGAATAAATCGCAAAAGTACATCACATTTAGTGCAAATGCAACTAATGATATAAGTTTATATACTGCTTTGTAAACTTTCCATACCTTTGTAAAATAAAGCTATCCTATTAAATTAATAAACTTGCCCGTGTTCCAACAATTACCAGAAATGGCAAATAAGGAGTTAAACTCTTTATATTTTGGACTTTTTTTTAAAGTTCCCATCAGTGGCTGTGGTGGAATGTACCACTGCTTGGTGATTGTAAAAAGATGACGTACGTTTTGAGGTATAAGATTTTGTTTTTTAACATCGGTATATAAAATGCTCACTGGTGATATAGTAAAGATGTAAAAATTTTCATCTTATTTGCCTTGCTAACATTACCATATAGGCACTTTTCTACATATTCAAATGAACAGAATAACTCTGTAATAAGGCATATTCCATGCACACCATTAGAGAAAGGCAAATAAAAAGGGAGGAGTTATGGAGCATGAAATCTGCATGCGTGTGTAATCATGTGTTAGATATGGTTTCATCTCTACAGAGAAGATGAACAGAGATGTTTTTCAACACTGTGCAGATCATATTTACTCATTTAACCAAATCTTCACTAAGTTACTGTATTATATCTCTTTTCAGGCACCTAGCACACTATATCAAATAAATCTGACTTTCAGCTTTCTTTTAAAGAAAATATATCTGAAACTTTTTTCCTCAAGATACCCAGTTTAGTGAAACACCGAGCAGTTTCTGAAGAGTTTCCAACTATAGGACATGGATAAAAGACGTCACAGTCAGTACTAGCCCAACACAGTCCTCTCTTAACAAGTATCTCCTGAATCAAAGGCAGGCAAACATCTGACATTTAAATTTTCACAGCAGCTAAAGGGAACTTTCCAGTAAGAACTATGCTTTCTTATAGCTCTGATGGGTTTTTGATCAAGAGGCAAATAATTTTCTACATGAACCTCATAGCACAGCTTTATTGAGATGAGGAAAACACATGCAGGATCTGAAAATAATGTACTCATCCTCAATCTAGACTGGGAATGTTGTTTTATGTAATCCAAATTATTTCAATAAATATTATACTGTACCTTCTCACAGCTTTGGGAAAGCCCCAGATATCATCCAAGAAAGCAGTCCACAGATAGCATGGACAGATGTCTCCTAGATTTTAGGCAGTCTCTTGCCCTGTCATACAGAATCTTTCTAGGTATTTCTGGATCATGTTTAATAACAAAAATTATGCAGCACATATTACATAACTAAAAAATACAATAGAAATATAAAGATATCTGGAAAAAAATAAAGCTTTTCACACTCTTACTCCTTCAGAACTAAAGATCGTCATAAGAGTAAGACAATAGAAAAGGCAAAGTCATAAGGATATTGACAGCCCTCAGATATTAACTGGCATTTTATGTAACAAGATGATTCATTATAGAAACCAGCAGCAATGAACTGTGATTATACAAAGCAAAATAAAACCTGCCAACAAGTTACCAAGTTTTTACTGAAGCCACTCCTTTCAACAACCCCAAAATATCACACAGATTTTTGTGCATATAAAGCACATACAGTATGCTATATGTGCATTTGTCTCTTGTGCTTTTTACACATGCACAAAAACTGCACAAGTATCTTAGGAAGGTTGATAATGAAATTCTACAACTTGTTTAAAATTAACACAGTAGCCCATGTTGGTGATTCAAAGTTGTATGCGCTTTTCTTCTTCTAAAGCAAGCAAATAAAAATAGAGCCATATACATGTTATCAATACATGTATTTATAATTGCACACTGATTCAGCAAGAAAGTTAGCAGGAGAGAGCTATTGTTAAATATTCAGCCCCATGGTGTTGCAACACTTCTTCACTTCAGTATACAAAGCCTAGAACCTGGGCCATAAAAAGACTGTAGATCCTTCGTTCCAGCATGGAGTGCCCTGTGCACGGTCACTTCTCCAATGTGGAATGCTCACCCAGTCTTGTTCTGATTGCTGCAGGTAAACAAAGAAAAGAATACAGCACTGAAAAGTT